AAAGCTAGCCTTACTATTAGACAGAAAGATTATTTTGGTTTAATACTGTTGAAAGCAGGGGTATTCAACCCTGGCAACTTTAAGACTTGTGGACTTCAACTCCCAGAATTCCCTCGCCCTGCTTTATAAAAGAAGTAATTTGTTCATTCTCATTTATCAGCATGGAGATCTCCTATGGATTTCTAATTCATTCATTCATTCATTCATTCATTCATTATGCATTCACATAATTTGTCTACCATCTCAATTTATTTGTCAAATGTATACAGCCACCCTATTTCTGTCAGGGATATTAAACAGTTCAGGCTGTTCTTTCAGATCTATACGTTCTCCACCTCCCCCCTCCGAATTTAAATTATTGTTTTACATGTCCTTGTGGCATGGAATAAACATCAAATTAGCCAGAACACAAAACTGATTTTTAATATGATTCTCTTTTGCTCGAAGGGCTGGTGGTAAATGTAAACACATCAGCAGAAAAGAGAGAGAGAGGAACTGCTTCACTGCAATTTATGAAAATATTTTATGCCTTGCCGTTGTGTAGTTCCAGAAATGTTTTGCTGCTCAGTTCTGTGTTCTTCAGGCAATGCAGTGCAGGGCAAGCAAATAGGGCATCTCTTTGGAGAATGTAACATATAATTTTGCTGAAAAACCAAGGCTTCTGCTGAGATGGAATTGTTTTGCCACGTAAACCGCAGAAAAGAAGGACAGCATCATGATAGGGTACATGTGTGTGTATATAAAGATCAGATGCCTACAAAAAGAGTTTGTTGAAAGGGGGCAACTTCTAATAATGCCAATTTAGATGTGAGAAGTGTTCCCCATTCAGGCTGCACTCAGCTATGTGGAAGAAACGTACTGAGGATTTTTTTAAAAATTGAGAAAATGGTGAATTCCTAATAGGGTTGGACTAGATGACCCTTAATGTATCTTCTAACTTTTTGATTGCATTCTCTTATTACCTTGAGATATAACATGGTTGATTATTTTTGGATTAATGTTGGCCAAGCGAGTTGTGAATTGTAGACTATTTGTTTATTTATTAAATTTGTTTTGTCGCCTGTCTCACCAAAAGACCATGGATAGTGGCTTGATAGAGTGAGCCAATCCAATTGATCGTGGTTACCGAATAATGGCTTAAAATCATGTGGGAAGGCAGTTTATCACTTAATAAGGAAAGACAGTCAACTGAGTAAGAGAAACTAGTTAAATGAAGCCACATGATATAATCCTGTTTCTGAGCCTCTGCAATCATGATCAAATAAGATGTCTTATGAAGTTCATATCATGAAGCTGGAGAAATTGAAGTGAATTGTAGATAAATGAACAAACTATGCTGAAATCTAATAATAATATCTAAGATTGTAATTGAAGGATCTAAAAAAATTGTTACCTTTTAATATAGGTTTTGGCAAATGGTGGCTGCTGGTAAATATTCAGTGAAAAGTGTTTTCATCAGATTGGGAAAAAAAGTGTCCCCCCACCTTAGTAAATAATTTGCCTGAGCAAATAAATTTTAACCCTCAGTTTGTACCGTAACTCTCTCCACTATGATAATCTACTCTGTAAATAGGACAGTTTATCAAAGGTGGTCTCTGTCTATCTTTTTTTGAAGTTTAAGAGAGTGATTGATTGAAAGCTGGAATTTTTGCTTTTACATATCATGAGCCAACCAGGGGCCAAACAGACATTGAAAAAGGCCTGTTTTCATGTTTCTTTGAGTGATAACACTTTCTCAGAGTGGGGATTCAAAGGGAGCTTGTCCTTACAGACATTTTTGAATGAACAGAGACCAAGCATCCTCTAGTCCTGAATCATGAAGGGTTTTAAAGGTGATAACTAATACCTTAAATCAGGCCCAAAAGTCAACCTGTAACCAATATAGTCCCCAAACTACAGGTGCTATCCAGGAAAAATGAAACACACTCTTTCAGCCCCTGCATTCTGGACCAGCTATAGTTACTAAGTACTGGCAGTCCTTAATTTATGACCATAATTGGGACTGGAAATTCCATTCCTAAGAAAGGTAGTTTATTTTATTTATTTTATTTCTATGATGCCCATCTCACCCTTCAAAACAACTCTGGGCAGCTTAACAGTGAAAGCTTAAATATAAAAGCAATTAAAAATTGTACGAGTGAAATACAGACTAAAACACAGGGGCTTGAGTGGTGCAGTAGTTAAGCGAGTCTTGCCTCATTTTATGACTTCTGCCATGGTTGTTAAATGAACCACCACAATCATTAAGTGAAGCATGCAGTCATTAAACAAATCCAGCTTCCCCTATTGATTTTGCTTGTCGGAAGCTGGCTGGGAAGGTTGCAAGTAGTGATCACGTGACTCTGGGATATTACAACTGACATAAATCTGTGCCAGTTCCCAAGGGCCCAAATTTTGATTGGTAACTTTAGGGACACTATGTCAATCATAAGTCACTTTTTTCAGTGTTGCTGTAACTTCAAACAGTTGTGAAACAAGTGATCGAAAATCGAGGACTATCTAGAGTCTTCAAGGACAGCCCCATAAGCAAGTCTTCCATCCAGAGTACAACTATCCAATTTCAATTCTTCACTTTCAATCCTTGTGGCCTTGTAAATCAGATTGGTGCCGGTAGCAATTAAATGTTTTGTTAGTACAGATGTTGTCCCCGATATAGTTCAGGAGGAGCCAGCAACTTCTAAAAATGACAGCTCTGAATAGCAAACCGAGCCTGAAGAATGAAACATGCACCTTATCACAAATGCTAAGGACTAGTTTTCACCTTAGATTGTGCACACTTAGTTGGGTTCAGAACAGACCCTTATGAATTGATGGACCCTTCCATCAGCTATTGTAGACTTAAATCCTGTTGATTGCAATGAGCCTACTTGAAGCATGGTTGCATCTGGACCCAATATAGATCCCTACATATATAGTTTTGACCTTTTTCTCTCTTGGCCAAATGTAAAGCATTCAGCTCTGCACATTTAACACATAGGGAATTCAATCCAGGTCATCATCACAGACATTCATTCTTCTCCTGAGGTCTCATTAAGTGCACTGCTTCACTTCTCAGCACCAACAACACACCTTACCCTTCCAGCTGTGTACTTTACAGAGGTTACACTTCAAAGCTGGGACTTGGAGGATGGGGAACTGCAACTCCCAATAGCACCCAGAGCTACCTGCTCAATGAGGAGAGGCATTGCAAGTTGTATCTATGGAGATTCTCAGCCATCCAGGTCATAGTTGTTCCAAAGGTGCTTTTTTTTTTTAAAAAAAAAAAGGCAACTGGACTTTGTTTTTCATAGAAAAAAACAAAGTCCAGTTGCCTTTTTTAAATGAAAGCACCTTTGGGACATTGGGAGTTGTAGTTAAAACTGATGAAGCTTCTTGGATAAGAAGCAAAACATCTTCTTCTTCCTCAAATAATAAACAGTTCAGTTGCCTTTTGGGAAAAAAAAAGCACCTTTGAGACAACTATGACTTGGGTGACTGAGAATCTCCATCGACATTGGGAATTGTAGATTCGACCTCTGGGTCTGTTGTCTACCCCTAATCATACCTGGCATCAAAAGTGGCCAGCTGTTGGTGTCAAAAGTGGTGTGGCACTTCTTTAATCAGAAGAAGGCAGCTGTCTTGCACAGAGAATACAAATCTCTGCTCCGACATCTGGAAGGAGGGCTCAGTGGAAGAGTGGAGCACTGTTGTTCTGCCTTCAAGTGCTTTGGAGAATAGGTTGACCCCCCCACTTCTTTGTGGAAGCCCCTCAGATATTGGAAGACTGCTATCTTCCCATAGCATTGGTGATGTTACCTAGTTTGGGTAATGAAACGTCTGCAAGAAAACAAGCAAGCTCAGAGACCACCAAGGACCCCTCACCTCAACCTTTAACTAAAATATTCTCCTTTACTAGTAAGACTGCTGTCAGAATCAGAGCAGAGCTGGAAGGGACCTTGGAGGTCTTCTAGTCCAGCCCTCTGCTCAAGCAGGAGACCCTGTACCCTGTCAGACAAGTGGCTGTCCAGTCTTTTCTATCATACCACCCCTAGTCCTTGTGGGTCCGCTCCGAGCCGAAGCGTGGCTCTCGCCTTCCCCCGTTAAGTCCGCCACTGGCTGGCTGGCTGGCTCGCTCCCGCCTTTCATCGCCGCCGCTCTGAGGCAGCGATGGGAGTGCGCGCGCACAGCCTCGGCGCCCTCTCGCAATCCCGCTTACGTTGGCGCGAAGGATCCGGACGGTCATGGCATCGGCGGACCCCGCGGGGCGAGCCTCTCGCGGTGCGGCCCGGACGGGAGCCCCGAAACGGGTGCGTGCGCGTCGGGGAGGGGGGGGCGTCGGCGTCGTCGGGAGGGGGGGGGGCGGGCGATGCCTGCGGCTTGGGGCCCTGGCGCGCTGCGATTTGTGAAGCGGGGCGTGATGAAACCTCCCCCTGGACAAATCAGAGGGAGGCGGTCAGCCCCCCCCCAGGTGGGTTCAGTGGTAGCTGATAGCCTGTGCAAACAGAGCGCTGCGCTCGGTTTCCAGCCCAAGGAGGTTCTACGGCCAGGCAGCTGGAGGAGGATGGCCAAGGCTACCGGGTTGCGGCTCTATCAGGTAGGAGCCGCTGGGCTTTGGGTGGCCCGGGATGGCGAAGGCGCCGCTGCCCCAAGAAGAGGGGATCGGGAGTCCCACCAGCCCACCCCACGCCCCCTACTCCAGATGCGAGACAAGAAACGGGCTTTTGACCCTGGAACTCCAGGCTGGTGGCGGATGAATCTGTCCCCGCTTAGCGAGACTTTTACTCTTTCGGCAAGGAGACGGGATGACCCGTCGGAACAACTGTTTTCTGTTCTGCTGCAAAATCATAGAAATGTCCTTAACAAAAAAAGAGGAGAAAAAAAAAAGAGAAGACCTCGAAGCTTGCTTCGTTTTATTAATATCTCTGTCTCTCTCTCTCTCTCTCTCTCTCTCTCTCTCTCTCTCTCTCTCTGGCTTTCTCTCTTTCTCTCTGGCTTTTTCTCTCTCTCTTTTTCTCCCACAGGTAACCTTGCTCGGTTTGGTTTTGGGCATGAACGTCTGTGCTGGATTTACAGCTCATCGTTTCAGAAGATCTGGTGAATTTGGGGAGGAGGGTCCGGACTCAGGTATAACGTGGATTCAGGGGTCCGTTTCTGCAGTCCCTTGGGAGGGGGAGGCTTGGGGGAACAGTGGGTCTTAAAATGTAGCTTTTTGTCTTTTTCTTTCCGACTGCCCTCCAATATGTCAAAGGTTATGTGAAAAAGCTTGCGTTGGTTGACCTTCAGAACATGCTTATAGGTAACCTATTTACTTCTCTCTGTGGAAGAGAGATTGAGACAGACATATTCCATTTATGTGCTGAGGCTGATGTGAGGTGCATATGTTTGTGTGCACAACATGATTCTTGGGATCTAAAAAAAAAAAATAATGGATCATATTTGGGTAGAGGCAGTTCCCCCCATCCCTGAACTAATGTGAGCAATTCTTGTTTTGTTGGATTAGTTTGTTTTCTGGTAGAGGTTTCTTATTATCTGCTTGATAGTCCCGTTCTGCAAAGTAGAAATGAGGAGATATAAAAAGAAAGGAGGGGGAGTTAGGAGGACGGAGAAAAGCAGGTGTTTCATTTTGGAAGTTGTGGGCAGCAGATGTTTTCCTTTAAAATTGGGTTCCTTTAATTTCAGGGGGAACAAAATGCAGGCTAGCCGAGACTGCTGCACTCCCTCATACATCTCTGTCAAAATGTGTATTCAATATCTCCGATCTGTTTAAAAAACAGGAAGGGAAGAGTATTTTTATACAACTTCTAATTTGACTATGGAGTGACCTTCCATTCTTTCTGATGGACAATGTGTTCCTTGAAATAGCTTTTAAAATCACGATGGAGTTATTGTTTACTCCTTATAAAAAATAAATACATTTATCATGTACATATTTACCATTTATTTATTTATTTATGAGACTTATATACCGCTTTAAGTGCAAGCACTCTCTAAGCGGTGTACACCAGTAAACAATGTATTTATATATATTTACATTGCCCCCAACAATCTGGGTCCTCACTGGTGATTTATACACGAGAAGCAAATGTACATCCCTTCACAAAAGCCCGAATTACATAAGTTGGCACCAAGCAGCACAATAGTGATGCTAGTCTTGAAAATATATACAGATGTAACTTGGGCACGCCAAAACCTCGTTTCATCTGTCATCCTGCTTCCAATACAGTAATGCTGTTCTGATGCCTCTGGAACTTTCCATTTCTTTCCTTTTCTTTGGCCCTAATTTTGAAAGATATTTCTGTGAACTTGGCTAAAACACTCTTGGCAACTTGTCTCCTTGTCTAAGAAAGAATCTTGTGGCACATTTCTGTTTGTACCGATCAGCGGTTTTCAGATGTATTGGCATTCCTGACTCATACGGTAGTTTTTGCTCTGATACAAAAAGAAGAGGAGGAGTTGGCTTTAATACAATCTTCTCCAAGTCGGAGCCCTCCAGATGTGTTGGCTTCCAGCTCTGTTTTTTTTTCTTTTTTTCGCCAAAACTGCATGGCTAATGCTGCACTAGCTGGTGGGGGAGTGATCGCCGAAGGCTTCAAAAGAGGCACCAATTGGGGAAATTGAATTAAAATCTTAGAAACAACGCATTCATCTACAGAACTAGTAACAGAACAGAATAACAGAGTTGGAAGGGACCTTGGAGGTGTTCTAGTCCAGCCCGCTTGCTGAAGCAGGAGACCCTATACCATTTCAGACAGTGGGTATTCCTAAAAATCGGAGCATTAAAATCTTTTTTGGGAAATGTAAAAGCCAAGTCTGGCTCCTTTTGGGATGACAACTGAAGGAGCTCTTGGTAATGCAGTAAAAACAGCTTGATTGGCTGACGCTCCTTAAGAATAGATGTGAGGGACCTGCCAAATATGCTCTGCTTATGCCATAGTATCACCTTTGTTTACAGTGAACAAAGCCTGTTTGCACTGGAGAAATAAATTGTAGCCAACTTGCTGGTTCTATTATGATGAGATCTCTCTCTCTCTCTCTCTCTCTCTCTCTCTCTCTCTTTCTCTCTCTCTCTTTCTCTCTCTCTCCCTCCCTCCCTCCCTCCCTCCCCCCTCCCCCCTCTCTGCATGCACTATCCTTGCCAAAGTTGTTTCTAATGTATCAAAGTAATGGAAACAGGATGTACAGAATGTGAGATCAGAAAGCCTTGCGCTCGGTATCACAAATGGGAGAGCTGGACAATTGTCTACGAAAAGAAGGGAGTGCTGTTACAGTATGCTGGATAAGTTAGGTTTAACTGGTAACAAATGCCAGATCAAAGGATCTGTCTTAGGCTTTGATAAGCACACATGATTCCTATTATTAGCAATGGTGGCTGCAGATGGAGCAGTCTCTCAGAGAAGACAGCCTGGATGTTTGAGACAGGGGCCTTTTTACATCCCTGTAGAGTTTGGCTTGTATGTGAAAGTACTTTGCATTGCTTTTGAACACGTTCTACTGTCTGACCCAGCTGCTTTCTAAGTAACGTGGAAAATGTTTTCTCCATCTGTTGCTGGAGATCGCTTGCAATATCCTTGCAGGTGCTGGTGGCAGTATTTGCAAATTCCAAACATATGGCTGGATTTATTAAAACAGCCCAGCTACCATTAAGGAATTGTAACTGACTTGGAAATCTTCTCCACGCTGACTTCTGAATTAAAACTCTCTTTCGGGAGATGCTGCTTTTAGATAAGCGATGGCTGCATTGGATCACGATGTTTAGGATCCAGAGTGACCCACCTCTTAGCTCAGTGTAAGCCATATGGTTTAAAGCTTGCATAGACTACACCTCTTCTGGTTTTAATTTGCTTATCTAGCATTTATCTGATTGAATAATAGCAATAGCACTTAGACTTATATTTCACTTCATAATGCTTTACAGCCCCCTCTAAGCGGTTTACAGAATCAGCATGTTGCCCCCAACAATTTGGATCCTCATTTTACCATCCTCGGAAGGATGGAAGGCTGAGCTGAGTCAACCTTGAGCTGGTTAGGATCGAACTGCTGGCAGTTATCAGAATTAGCCTGCAATACTGCATTCTAACCACTGCGCCACCATAACTGAGGGCTCCTTGATGCTCTCTGAGCTTGGTGGTTTTAACAGAACAGAACAGAATAACAGTTGGAAGGGGCCTTGGAGGTCTTCTAGTCCAGCCACCTGCTCAGACAGGAAATCCTACACCAGTTCAAACAAATGATTGTCCAATCTCTCCTTGAAGATGTTTCATTACCCAAGCTAGGTAATATCATCTGCACTGGTGAGAGAGCACCAAGACCTCTCATTTCAACCCTGAGCTATAAATACTCTCCTTTACTGATTTATCTGACTTCTTTTGACCTGTTCATGAAATGAATAGCTTCCATTGTGATTTCTTTGAAACATAACCTTAAGGCTTACATTAACAGAGTAGCTTCTCTTATACTTCGGAATGAAAACCTTTAGCTACCTGGAGATACTCTGCTCACTGCAACATTGCATTGTCATTATTGACACTGGGTCTTTGCTTTGCAATGTCATGTATTGTGTCCTTGATGCGTTTTTGTAGAACGCGAGTTGGAAACTGCTGATCTATATTTCTGAAAAGCCACAGCCCAGTTTTGTCCTCGATTTCCCTCTGTCCTTTTACAGGGCATCACTACTCAGCAGTATTATAAATGTTTGTGTAGCATTACAGAAGTTGCTTCCTATTCAGGCAAAGCAAATAGGTAACACACAATCATCTTAGGTGGCTGATTTGAGAACAAGTCTCAATTCAAATCAAATCTTTATTATGGTCATAGACTAGCACAGGAGAATAAATCTGTTTTTATACAAGATTATTGTATTCTACTGGTTATATATTCTTAAGCAGGATTCTTTCTCAATTTTTTTTAAATTGGGAAAACCATGGACTGAATCCAGAACCTTCCACATGTTTGTGGTCTGTCATTAACTGGGGCTTCTCTTACCATCTGCTATTAAAAGATGTTTTTTTTTTTTAAAAAAAAAAATTAAGTGACTTCTATTGCCATAGATGAAATTAGAAGGAATAACAAAATAAGCACAACTGGAAATTTCTGCTTTTTGATAGAATTTAGGTTGTGTTCTGAAAGATTGACAGGCCACAACGTGAATGTCTGGACTTACGTTTATGGTCTAGAGAGTTGAAACAGCTAAGAACATTTCTAATGTAAATGAATTAATTAAAAATAATATCCCATTTTTAATGGAAACGCTGTTGCCTGCTCTAGCTTGTCTGTAATATGAAAACAAGTTTTGGTCATTCAATTTTGGTTACCACAATGTAAAAAAGATGTCGAGACTCTAGAAAGAGTACAGACAAGAGCAACAAAGATGATTAGGGGACTGGAGGCTAAAACATATAAGGAATGGTTGCTGGAATTGGGTATGTCTAGTTTAATGAAGAGAAGGATGAGGGGTGACATGATAGCAGTGTTCCAATATCTCAGGGGCTGCCCCAAAGAAGAGGCAGTCAAGCTATTCCCCAAAGTGCCTGAAGGCAGGACAAGAAGCAACGGATGGAAACTAACCAAAGAGAGAAGCAACCTAGAACTAAGGAGAAACAGTTAGAACAATTAATCAGTGGAACAACCTGCCTCCAGAAGCTGTGAATGCTCCAACACTGGAAGTTTTTAAGAAGAGACTAGACAGCCATTTGTCTGAAATGGTATAGGGTTTCCTGCCTGAGCAGGGGGTTGGACTAGATGACCTCAAAGGTCCCTTCCAACTACTACTACAACTACTACTACTACTACTACTACTACTACTACTACTACTACTACTATTATTATTATTTCCATTTCAAGAACAGCAGTTATTGTTTGAATCTAACATAGTAAACAAAATTTCTATGCTTTTCCTCAAGGTCACAGCTCTATTCCACTCCCGTGTTATATCAGCAGCAAAGAGATGCTTTGATTAAAATCAGTTCATCGATCTGTGCAGGACAGACTGACCATCTCAATATCTTGAGAAGTACCAACAGAATGACAATCATTAGCTTGAAAGGCAATCCCCTAAGTTATAATCTTGTCATAGGTTGTCCTAGGGCAGGGGTAGGCAACCTTGGCTCTTTTATGACTCGTGGACT